GATCGGCCTGTTTACAGCCTCCCAAGAGCTGGGATTACAGGTGCGCACCACCACGGCCAGTCTCAATCACCCTCTCAGCGCGCCCAGGGAGCAGGGCCGACACAACAGGCCCAGGGAAAGAACCCCAGCCCCTGCGGCTGCTTGCAGGCACCAAATTATTCTTTTATGGCCAATGCAAAATCCCATTCCTGGGACCAAAGCCATCTATGTTACTAGGTTTTCCCTGCACTGGTTAGCAGTTGAGCCCAACGAGCCCTAAATGTCAGTGTTCATTCCTCTGACATCATTCATCTCTGAGACACCCGCTTCCCACCCTTTCCCTGACTACACAGGCCCTGCTTTGGCTCTGGGCAGCACAGGGGCTCCCAGCCAGAGAGCCTCACTTAGCACTGATTTTCTTCTTCATGTCTTTAGAACGCATTCTTTTCATGAGTGGCTGGTCGGCCATCCCCATGGCTGTGGGAACTTATCCTTCTCCACCCTGTTTGCAGTAGGAACACACAGGGCACGCAGCGAGCACTTGGTAGATGCCTTTTCATTCACTAACACGCATTTACTGCGTGAGTTTTTAATGGGCTGAAGCCTCTCAGTGTTAATGTTTACTGAGCCCCAACAGATGGATGTTGGAAACCAGACATCCCGACGTGGGAGGTGTATACAACGCCATTTCCACACAGCGGTGCCCTCAGAGCTCAGGCAGGAGAGGAAACCAGGCTTGGACCTGTGGGGCTCTGTGGGGACTTTTTCTGTTGTTCCTCATTTTCTTTTCTTTTCTTTTCTTTTAACTTTTTTTATTAATTTTAATGAGCCTAGTTTTCATTTTACCTGGTACTTTAAAAATCTAAGTGAGTGTAGCCAGGAGGCTGAGCCACAGGAAACGAAAGCAGACATAGCCATCTTGCAAAAGCCATGGCCTGGTGGGGGTCTCACAGTGCTCGCCGGGGGGAATGCACAATGGAGGCTGTGCGCATGAGACCCAGGCTGCCTGGGGAAGCAGAGGAGCTAGCAGGTGGCTCTGGGGTGGGGCTGCTCCGTCACATCTCCCCTGGCTAGAAAGTCCCTGAACTGGCTCCCAGGAAAATGGAGATGGCTTTCTCAAAGTGGCCTGACTTTGGTAAAAGTCAGTGATGAGTTTTTTTTCCTCCTTGCTAAGGACTACGTTAGCCAATTTCACGGTATCTTTCTTATTTACTTCTTAACACTCACCTAGATCCTAGTCCCTCCTGCTAGGGTTAGGACTGTGACAGTGCCTAAGGCCACTGGCTTCTTTAGGGACCAGAGGGTTTCCTGTCCCCAGTAAATTTAGCAAAGCTCAGGGGTGGAAGCACTCCTGGTTTACTTATTCTTTCCAACACAAGCAATCTAGCACCAGACATGGGAGGTGGAGAGGAAAAAGCTATTTAACATCTAAAAATAGAAACATTAAAAGGTTTTCCATCATTATAATGCTTTTAAATCACACCAAACAGACCTGCTTTACAGGGTAAACTATAAAGAAACGGGAAGCTCGGTCCTGGGAAAGTGGAGGCTGAGACTGTACCCCCATGCTGCACCCATGACAGTACTGCTTGCTTGCTTGTTTGCTTGCTTTTTTTTTTATTTTAGGGAAGGGTCTACAGGGTGTTCAGGGTCTCACTACTAGATTGGACTCATAGTGATCCTCCTGTTTGCAGCCTCCCAAGAGCTGGGATTGCAGGTGCGCACTACCACACCCAGTCTCAATTGCCATCTCAGCACACCTTGGGGGCGAGGCCAGCACAGCAGGCCCAGGGAACGAACCCCTGGCCCCTGCACCTGCTTGCAGGCACTTTAATCCACTGAGCTATTTGGCCGGCCCTCTGCACTGCTTTCCAAGGCCCCAGGAGCCAGCCGGTGCCCACTCTCACTGTGATGCCCAGGGACCAGTCGCAAAGCCGCTCTGCACTGCCGCTGCACAGGCTTTGCAGCTGCCAAGACTAAGATCTACTTTCACACCTTCACGGTGGTAGCAAGCCACCATCTCGGGCATTAGGTATTGCCCTGCCAGGCTACAGCAAAGGCATGTGTCCTAGAGACCTCTGAGTTTCACCCGCAGCCACACTTGGTCTCCTTATGAAATCTGGATCCCGGTGGTTCTGGGGCAAGCTTGGAAGTGGAGGTGCAGTTTTAATCCTGTCACTGTCTTGTTGGCACTCTGCTTGTGGGCAATGCCTCAGGGGCCCTGAGGCTCTGCGGCCTCTGCAGGCTCAGTGACGCCCTTACCGTACACATAGGAGATCCCCACGAGCTCGAAGATGGCAATGATGACAAGGGCATAGGAGGCGGCATACGTGTCCACGAGCTGGAACATGTAGATTCCACCCTGCAGAGAGAGGCGCAGGTGATGTCAGGCTGACCCTGGGCTAGACTCTCTCCTCCTTCTAGTATTTATTTTTTATGTATTTGGTACAGGGTCTCATTCACAGCCTGGAATCATAGTGATCCTCCTGTTTTCAGCCTCCTCAGTGTTGGGATTACAGGTGTGCACCACCACGCCCACTCTCAGTGGCTGGCTGAGCGCCCCTGGGGGCAGGGCCTGCACAGCATGTGGTGCCGGAATCGAACCCCAGTCCCTGAGCTTGCTTAGACAGACGCTTAGTCGGCAGAGTTATCTTGCCTGCCCTTCCTCCTGTTTCTAAAGCTGAATCTCCCCATCTTAAGGAGAGTGGGGCACAGATGGCAGTCAAGGGGTCTCCCCTTCTCCTAAAAGCACTAACCTACACTTGGCCAACTGTGACTGGAGACTTCATCAGGACAGCAAAGCAGTGCTTTGATCCCCTCTGAGTTAATAATAGGAACAAGCACTCAGAAAAGTGATTTAACATCTTATTATTCAAAAGCAATGGCCAACATCTAAAAATTGCATCTGAAAGTAGCCAAAATGCTTTGTTTTTATCCAAGCAAGCACTGATCCTTTTCACCAGTGCATTTGATTGTCCTTCACATGACCTTCAGATCTCTCCCAGCATTCTTCATGCAATCCTACTGTTTCTCTATCTTACTCCCTAAATCTCTTTACAATAGATGAAGCTTTAAAACCAACTCATTCAAATCCTTCATTATACAGGAGAAGAAATAATGGCCCAGAACAGCGGCTTGCTGTGGGTCACGCAGATACCGAGAGCAACGTACACACTGAGTAGGTGAACATTCATTCCATGGTCGGAGACACAGAGGAGACCTGTGTGGTGGGAGAGCTTGACACAGGACGAGTAGCAGCTTGGAAATGCACCTAGTTGCTTCATTTGAGGCTCTATATTTGCCATTTCTTTAAGTAGGACACACCTGCCTTGTTGGCTCACGAAGGCTACATCTCAATTACAAGGACGCTAGAAGCATCCCCAGTGGCCAACATGACATGTTTCCCTCTGCAGTCAAAATCTCTAATGAACTAGTGCTGTCGAGATGGAAACAGTAATGCTGTGCCTAAGCTGATAAGGTCGGAGAGCTCAGGGTACAGGGACAGGTAGCCAGCAGCCTCCCACCCCCCCAGCCCTCCCCAGGCCTGAGCCCAGTGCCCCCTACCTGAGTGATCATTGGAAAGCCCATGATGAAGAAGCAAACACAGCAGCCCAGCGTGAAGACTGGCTTGTGGGTGCGCAGGTACTTGGGAAACTCATCCGAGATGGACGTCACTATGGTCTCGATGGTGGCAAACTGGAATTGTTGGAAAAGAAGGAGCTGAGAGAAACTGTCCTACTCACAAGGCCCAAAGAAAGCTCACTTCACAGATCTCAGCAGGGAAAACCCTGTCAGTGTTAGGTATGGTTTTGAGGATGGCATTCTTTTGTTGGGTCTAAATGACCTTCCTGGGGTGCAACTCACAAGGCTGTGCAGGAAAACTCCAGTGGGAGAAGAGCTTCAGAAACCATGCTTCCGGGCCCCAGAGAATGCACTCAGATTCATCCATTAGGACACTTTAAGCTTTATTTTGCATTCATAAAATGTAAATTCCTCTCTTCTGGTTACCTTGCATTTGATCTTCTTGAGAAAAACCCTCTCTGCACCCATCATCTAAACTCTGAGCGCTGTCAGCACGATTTGCAGTGGGCTCAGCCGCACTGCAATTTTCCCTAAACTTGACTTCGCATCATCCTCCCTGCTCAGCCCCACCGAAGGTGTGTAGCAAAACAACGCCAAGGGTGGGGAGGAGTGTGCAGGCTAAGAGAGAGGAAGGGAAAGAGAGACTGGCGCTGGCTCCTTCATACCTCCACAGGAGACCACGAGTGCAAGGTGATCCCCAGCCTACACAGGTAGCTCACCTCCCTTCCCTGCAGTGCAGAAACCTCAGCACTCATAAGCCTCATTGAATGCTGGACCCTGGGCCAGGAATGGGAGCTGAGGACACGGCTGGAGGGGCTGGGGCTCACCATAGTGTCGAGTCCTAGAGTGAGCAGCATCAAGAAAAAGATAATGGCCCAGAACGGAGACAGGGGCAGCCTGGTCAGCGCTTCTGGATAAACCACAAAGGCAATGCCTGGCCCTGGAGGAAGAAGAGAAGCGGTTATGGCAGACCCAGCCCCAAGCCCCTCTTCCCAGAGCACAGGGCTTCCCCTCTGCCCAGGTCCTGAATGCAGACTTGCCACACGCTGCTTCTACTGTTTGTTCTCAGTTTTACTCACTTCCATGTATCCCTAAGATCATGCTAAGCAACACGAGAAAGCACACTCTCTTATTAGACGAGTCAAGAGTAAATATAATAATTACACTCGAAAATAGTGATTCTCAACCTAGGTTGATGGAATAGCTTATACCTAGAGATCCCTCCCCAAGGCCTCCTGCATGCATAGACGGGGCTTGGGGAGGAGACTAGGTCACAGCCACATGATGCTCATCTGTGCATTAGGCCACTGATGTGGGTATAGCTAACTGTGACATCAGAGGACAAGGCTGGCACGGAGGAGGCGGCTTACTGGGGTGTGGCCTGGAAGGGTCTGTCTCTTTCCCTCCTCCTTCCTCAGCCTTTCTCTCTCCTTTCTGCTGCCACTCCACAAGCTGCCATCCTCTGCGATGTCCCTCTGCCATGCCACCTACCTTGGAGCCAGGGACTGAACCTGTACAACTGTGAGCCCTTTAGCTGGAGATGCTGGGTATCAGTAATGAAGAATGTTACTAAAACAGTTGACATTGTGTCTCTTCCTTTCCCCTAAACCAAGGGGGATATAGGGCGAAGTCCAAAGACAGTTCTGATTCTCACAACTGGGATGGGGTAGGGTGATTAGTGGCATCTAGTGGGTAGGGCCAAGGGGTACTACTCAGCATTCTGTATTACAGTGGACAGCTCCCAATGACAAAGGAAGATCCAGCCCAATGCAAGTAGTGCTGATGTTGGAAGCCCCGGCTCTGAAGGTTTCAATGCACAAGAATGACCCCATTTTCCCCTGTAGCTACACACCTTCCTTATCGATTCTCCAGGAAGCCATGCACATGAACCATGCATGTGTCTAAAACCTTTAGGGTCTTGCCCTACTTGGTAAAGACGGGGCTTCACTGGTGATTGGCTGGTGAAAGGGTTGGGAGAGATCAAGCGAGTCTTGGAGTTGAGTTTGGTCTCTAAAGGTCAGACAGGTCTTGCTCACCTCTAGATTCCACCACTTACCAGCTATGCAAACCTAGACAAGCTTCTATAAGCCTCAGTGTTACCTGTGTATGAAGTGGGAATGACAATGACACCTGATAATACAGATGCGAGGCAGGAATAAGTGAAAAGACACCTGACACATCATCAACACTCACAGAATGTCAGCTTTTATTATGCGTGAACTGTAAGCTTGGCAGTTAGAGGTTCCAGTTCAGGCTTTGTTAAGAATACTCTGTGCTCCTGGTGGTGGTGTCTGAGGTGGTTTGCTCAGCTATGGTGAAGTCCTGCCAGGCAATCCTACTCGCCTCAGGGTCTCCCTTGGAAGATCATGGTGACTGAACATATAGACTGAAAGATATGGCAGGTGTATGCATCTTCGCAAGCAGCAAGCTAAATGACAGCACATGGAGACAAGGGAATGCAAGCACAGGGAGAACCTGCAGCCCATGCGTGTCTGGCATCCAGAAATCCCAGCACCTGGCGTTTTCATAACTCAAGCATAACAGCACTTTTTAAAACTAGAATTTCGCAGGTTGTTAGTTCCTACGGTTGCCTAGGGCCTTCGGGTATTTAAAATATAAAGCTTCAAACACTTAAGATACCCTCACTTTACACATTTATTGCACTGGGTGTGGAGCCAGCCTCCAAAGGCTCCTCTATAAACTGTAAAAGAAAAGTCTGTGTTCAACTGCAGGGCAGAATGGGTCTTTGATGCCAAGCCAGGCTGCCAGCACTGCACTGTGGAGACTGCCCGGCCCATAAAGCCAGCAAGGCCTTGGATGGCCCCTGCCAGTGACCTCAGCAGATCACTTAAACAAGACCGGACCCTGAGGGGGCTTAATTTTAAAATCCTGCTTCGATTTCAGCTGCCTCCCTAATGTACTCGAGTAAAGGCACTTTTTTCAAGCTACATTGCAGCAAATTCCGCTTATCCAAGGTAGCTGGGGAACAGAGTCCTGGAGTGGATATTGCTGTTGAATATTTCAAAGAGCACACAGCCTGCCTGAGGAGGCTAAATCCAGTCTCTCTCCATGCACACTGGGAGAGGGTAGAGCCACATGGCCAAAGAGTGGGTTCCATACCCCCCAAGATTACCTCCACCTAGCCAAGGGCTTTAGCTGAGTCACCAGTTCTCTGAGACAAACCTTCCTTTTCTTATCTGCACAGTAGAGTTGATAACAGTGCTTATAGCATTCAGTGAAAATTGAGATGCCAAGACTAGTAAAGGCTTAAAACAAACTATATATACAGACACCTGTGAACTAAGCAACTGCACTGAAGACGGCCATTTGTAATAGTAGGTTCATGCTTGGAGTGCCTGTCATTCTGGTCTTCTG